TTAAAGGAAAAATTAGAATTTAAAAAAATGACACCAAAGTGGTCTGTTTTCATTGCATTATGCAGATGAAATGACAAGTTGTCATTTAAGAAGTTAATAAACAGTCACCATTTTGCAGGTTATCCAAATGCTACTGAATAGAAAACCTTGGATCCCTAAATGATGTGTAATTAAAATTATTTAAAAAATCCTCCTTGACAGGCCAGGGCTTAGCCAAAATGTAAATGACATTAAAGAAGACAATGAATTTAATTTTATTTAATGTCCCTTTTTGCAGATCCTCATTTACATAGCATTTTTAACAAAAGCGTTGACCTTATAAATGCTGGCATTTGTACAGCTTCTGCAGAGTTGGATTTAATCATGCTTTCGCAAAGCCATAAGGGAAAAAGCTTTAAGTTCTCTGGTTGGATATGGAGTAGGAATAAAAACATTGGGACTGGTCAAATGTTTATCCTCCTTGCTTCTGAAAACAACCTGACAAGAAGATGTAAAGGTCTAGGGAATAACCCATTGCTGTTTGTAAGGCTTGGTAATAATCATACATAATCGTTTGGAAATATAGCTAATAAAAAATATAATGAGTGTTCAGCAAAATCGGCATTAGGCCCAAATTACATGATATTAATACTTGAACAGGTGCAGAAAGGCGCTTTAAATGAGGTAAATGAATAAAATGTCCCAGAGCACAACTGTGTGCACTGACAAAAAGTCAATCACATGAATAATTCAGCGGCCGGGACTGCCAGCAAAGGTCAGCGGCTCTCACCTTTGTGACGGGAAGTGAAAGGAAACGCTGCTGACGAAAAAAAACCCCATCGCCCTCCAGCCGCCGCGCCGCAGCCCCGCCGAAGGTGTAAACTTGGAGTAGGAAGGAATGAAAGCGCTGCACCGGCAAGCCGGCGTAAAAAAAAAAAAAACAACAAAAAAAAACCAACCAAAAAAACCAAACCCAACCCTAGCGCGAACAGTCAACTCGTTTAGGGAAAATAATCTGAAATTACAGCCAGGGAAAGGTTAAGGGGGGTGGCTACCAGCAATGTCAATTATCTACAAAATCTGAGGTCAGTCGAAAAGTATTTTAAGAGCCTACGGGATTGAAATTTTGTAACAGCTGTTAAATATGACAAAACTTTTTATTCCCCCAAACTAAAGCTATTCCAAACTCCGTATGAAAGAAATGGGATAAACAGATGTCTGGCTTCCATACAGGAAAGTAGGACACACTTGGAATGATAAGTCTCCTAAACTCTATAGAATAATGCCAGATTTATTGGGGAGGGGGGTATTTACTACCCACGGAGATGCCAACTAGCAGTAGGACTGTGATGGTACCATCTGGAAACGCGCTGCAGAGCACGCGAGCGGCGATGCTCCGCAAGCGCATCCAGCCCTGCCACCGCTCCGCCGGCGGGCTGCCGCGCCGTCCTTCGGTGGGGAGGCGAGCCCACCGCCCCGGCCGGCCCGCAGCGCTCCGGCCAGTCCTCAACAGTTGGACACCCGGCCTTCGGGTACGCTCGAGCCCGGCAAGGAGAGGAAAAGTCGAGAGGATGGGTCTCGGCCGGAATTTCCATACCTTCTGATGAGATAGATGGTGGTGGCACCGAGGAATTATTTTAGCACAGAGTGTGGTTTTGGTTTAGCAGTTACAGCGGCATCCTGTAATCATTTACAGCCCTTGGAATGTATGGGTGAAATAGGAGAGATTTATCTGTTCATAGTTGTGATATGTAGACAATGGGTGTTCCTAATGAGGAACATCTGCTTTTGTGTTTTCCCAGAAAACATTATTCCACTATGAAAATGATACTCCCATCCTTTTCAGCAACACCGCAAAGAAAATATGGGCCTTTTCCTTTCTTTTATTTGCTTTTCTTTGGGTCAATCTAATTTCCCAGGGACACTTTTTCTGTGGCATCTTTTTACTGACTGCGCTGCAATTTATGGTGGGTTTGTTCTTTAATACGTGAGTTACTGTGCTGTATGAATAGCCCCGATATGCCAGAAGATACTTAAATGTATACAGTAATAAAAGTGTATACACTCAGCCATGCTTCGTGAGAAACATCGAGTCGACGTAAATAAAAATTCTCAGTGAATTAAAAGGTCACAGAGGCATGCGACACAGAAAACTGCTTCCAAGGCCTCTGGTTTTGTTTTTACATTTAAAGCCCACTGCAGGATTCAAATGTATAATTACATAAGTCTATTTAAAACACCTTAATTGCTAACGAATTATTATTCCTGAGGTGCATAAGGGGGTTTTTTTTTTTTTTTTTTTTTTTTTTTTTTTTTTTTTTTCCCTAGTGCGATAAACAATTCAGACTATCACAGAGACTCCTAGTGTGGGCTGGAACAAATGGGTGGCCATAGATCTCAATTCAGGATTGAATTATTGGTTCGTATCCTGAGGACAAATATGCCTTATCTGGTCAAAAGCTGCTAAATGTATCCAAAGGACAAAAGGATCTAGTGAAGCATATTGTATATAATTCTTTTTTTAAGCCAACTAACCAAGCGGTAACACTTCTTATGGGAAACTGTAAATTGACCCACAAATTTGATGGGGAAATGTTGTTCTGTGATGCTCAAGAGGAAACACAGCCCCAAAATTCAACACCGACAACAAATGCAGGTAACAAACTATTAAGACACGGGTCGAGCAAGCATAAATATCGGCGATTTAAAGTACACGTCAGTTGTTTCAGGGCACTATTGCTCTTACCGAGCTCTTTCACGTCCGTGCTTTCCTCCTACATGTGCTGCAATTTGCTCGCAGCAAACATTGCATTCGACAGTTTTTCAAAAACACATCTTGCGAGGAAGAGTGTCGTACCGGCCTCCTTGCTGAGCCGTATGCAGTACGCAACCAAATTCTCCCAGCATTTTGACATGATAAGTGACAACTCTCTTCAGAAGGCTAAAATACATGCCACCCTCATAAAAAAAAAAAACTTGCAAATTCCTAATGTAGAAGGTGATTAAAATTCCTATAAAATTGTCATATCTTTAAATTTAGAAGCACAGCAGATTTTTCATCAATAATTAAGATCTCTAAAGCATTTATGCTAGGCATAAATGGAGTTTCAATCTTCCTTATTCAAATAAACATGATAAACCCATTAACCAAATGTTTTCTGATTTTTTTATATCTTCTCATGCTTCTGGAATATCAAATTATAACATACTCCCGACAGTTTGGGGAAGGTAGAAAAGCACTGATGTTGTACAGCTTGTTTCAGTTTTGCCAGGACCACCACCCTTCGCAGGACCGATATAAATTCTCTCACAGTGATTCCAGGACATTATTATGTATATATCATTATAATCCCTAATCACTGAAAAATGTTATGTGTGCTGCGTTTCATTGTGCGTACGGACTATAAACATAAACTACTTGTGCACTTTTCACTGTACGTTCAATAGGCACGAAATGATCGCTCTGACCATAGCTCTAAATTAAAGTCTGACCGAGCACATAATAGCAAAATATTATTCTAATTTTCATTCCCGGTTAATTTTCATCGCGTTCTGGTGTAGTCACACTTTAATGCAATTCACCATTTACATCTGCAAAAGTCACACACATCTTGAAAACTCTGAACAATGAACATGCTCATAATCCAATAATAAAAACTGTAACGCGCTGTCTTGCATTCACTACGCCGCCAAGATTCCTCCACTTCCAAATATTTTTTAGCCAATAAAGCAGAAATAAATTCAGCTCGCAAGGCAACAATCCAGCGCTATATGATTTCCATAGCTAAAACACTAAAGACAAATATAATTATATTGATTTTTTGTACTTCGAGTTCTATAAAGTGGTGAACTTGTTCTCAATTGCCTGACACAATCCCAGAGTGATGGCAACAACTGGTCAGCCCTATTTGATTACTAATAAGAGAGATGTCCCTTCTGTCAGATACCTCACATTCTCCACTAAGCAAACAGCTATTTCAGCTAGTTAAACATTAGCATTGCTCTCCACTGGTGGTGCATATTTCTTTAGGCTTAACTCAGGGAGTTTTCCAGGTTTAATTTTTCAGTCACTGGACAGCAAAGTTCATGATCAAAAGATAACTTTGTACTGCAAGCCACTGAAATCCAAGCCTTCTTCAAACCAGACTAACCCTCTTCTTCACAAAACCGGTGTCGTATGAACATCG